CGTCTCTAGTCGCCTCTTGGGATCTTGGGCATGCATGCACACGCGCCCAGTGTGAGTTTTAAGCCATTGGGTCCGGGATGTGAACTGCGGTCGACTACATGGGAGTCCAGCGACATAGCCATTACGCTAACTGCTGGTCCCTTTAGAGACTTTTTTTAAGTTAATCTATTTGTTTTTTTAAATATTATTTTGGGACCAGCAGTTGGAGTAATGGCTATGTCACTGGACTCCCATGTGGTCAACCGTGGTTTGAGTTCTAGGCCTGGTGCTTAAACTCACGCTGGACACGTGTGCAGGTGTGCCCAAGATCCAGAGGAAAATGGAAGAGAAGGGATTGCAGCATGGCCATCCCCCATGGGAAGTGATTTCTCGTTTTCTGTCTCTGTCTTTCTGGCAAGTGCATGTGTCCTATAGAAAAAAAAACTCTCTGAAAAAATTATTTATTTTGTTATTATTATTATTATTTCTGACTTGACCAGAGAGAAAGAAAAAGTGAGAAAGCAAGCTGCCAGGTCCAGGACTTGAACTGTGGTCAACCATGTGGAAGTCTATCACCTTAACCACCACACCACCTGCCAGCCCCTGAAATTAATCCATTTCTTCTGAGAGAGAGACATACATGCAAATACTCCAAAAAGGGTCTTCACACTATGATCCACCCCAGTTTCAGCTGGCCTGGATAACTGGCGGTATACATGTGCCCATGGCTCAGGGAGTTCCTGGGACATGAGCACAAGACACTTCTATGTGGGTCCAGTTGCTTTACCACTGGTTGTCATGTAGGGCTTCTCTTGAGCATTACCACTACTCCATAAAGCTGGCCCTAAATATGAATTAATTTGGAGGCATCAAAAGTTTCTCATGAAGGAAGTAACATAATCTAAATTATATTTGGAAAAATAAATAGCAACAGTATGGAAGATGGATAATAATGAAATGAGAGACCAATGGGGGAGAATATGGAAAAATTAGAGGACATATGTGGTAGGGCTAAACCATGGAACTAAATGTGGGAAGCCTTTTTAAGTAATCAAAAAGAATGGCCCATACTGGGAACCAGCAGTTAGCGTAATGGCTATGTGGCTGGACTCCCACGTAGTTGACTGGTTCGCGTCCCGGACTCAGTGGCTTAAAACTCACGCCGGGCGCGTGTGCGTGCATGCCCAAGATCCCAAGAGGAGAATGGAGGAGAAGGGATTGCAGTGTGACCATCCCCCCTGGGGGGTGATTTCTCGCTTTCTGTCTCTGTCTCTCTCTGTCTGTCTGTCTGGCGAGCGCACGCGCCCTATAGCAAAAAACCTCTCAAAAAAAAGAAAAGAAAAGAAAAAAAGAATGGCCCATACTGAAGAGATGTTTAGAGGTAGATTTATTTAAAGGGCTTAATAAATAACTGATGTGGGGGGAGGAAGCAGGCAGAGAAAAGAAATGATGCTGAGATCAGGAGAATGGGTGAATGCATGAGTTAAGGGACTCGGGGTAGAGCAAGTATTTGTTGGAAAGATAATGGATTCTTTACTAGCATTCTTGAATTTGAGGGCCTAAGGAATATCCACAAAGAGATGTCTGATCTGGCAAGGAATCAGAAATAAGGGGCTGAAGCTTGGGTGAAGAGGATTAGGATCTAGATTTGGAATTCATCTTCTAGAGTCATGAAAATAGATGAGACTACACAGGAGGAAAAGAAAGAGAGAAGGCAGAGAAGAGACCAGGAAGAGAAGGGAGAAGTGGACAAGGGCAGAAACCATCTTAGACAACAGGGAGCAAGAAACAGCAAAGTGGAATCAAGCCATTTAACTTCACTTCCTGTAAAATAACTGACCAAAAAAAAAAAAAGATTTAGGAAGAGGAGACATTAGACCATGTATTTCCATTATCTCTGTGTTCCCTGCTCCCGCTTAGCTAGTTAGATGAGATGCAGTCCAGCTCTCTAAAATTCAGTTATGGAACCACAGATTTGCACACTTCGTACCCAATATATTCATTCGGCTCTTTGAAGTCCTGATTTGTTACCTCTGAAATATACATCCTCGCTGGTGTAATCTTGCTCCTGAAAGGATTTCTAGTGTCCCTATCATGTCTCTCAGATCTTCTTTCCAAAGATCCAAATATTGGATTGTCGGAAAAGTCATGACACATTTTTGTATAGGAAAACATAAAAAAAAAAATCATACTTTTTCTGACAACTCAACATATAGCTTCCTGATTATAGCTTATTGGTGTTAAATCTGAAATTATGTTAACAATAATCATAACCTAATTCAAACTGATTAGTTATTCCTTAACCTAAAGTAGACACAACTTTTCTTAGCATTTTATTGAACTATTAGACAAAACTTTTAAAAGTAGTCTAGATTGTTCTCAACGTGGATAATAATTCTTGTTCAGAAAGAACTACAAAACCGAGGGCCAGTATATTTTCTACTCCTTACATAGTTCATTAAGTGGCAAATGACTATTTAATGAGGAAGTAAAATGTGGAACCCACACAAAAACCAATCAAACTTTAAAAGGCCCAGATGAATCTTAAACCCAACTCCTCTATCTTCCTATACCTTTAGCAATCAAGTTTCCCAGTCCCATTCAGCCATCCAGTAGAATCTTTTCTTTATATGGGGAGTTTTACTACACTCTGACTGGGCATACAGAGATAGGCTTGTTCTGACCCATCTGGCACTAGACATTTACGAGAAAAAAGTCTCTCACCAGATCCTTACACATAATCAGCATTTTTGTTTGCTACAGTCCCAGTCATTTCCTACCTTAGGCCAGTTTCGACATGCACTAGCCTTTTGCACTGAATCTACATTGTGTGTGCTAGCATGACATCAGCTGTCCTACCCCTAGCAGGGTCTGTGAGGAGGAGACCTACAATGGTGCTTTGAGTCCCAACAAAGCCCCTTCCTCTCTATTTAGGATTACTGACATTTTTTCCTTCCATTTAAAATTCTTCTTCCCATCTAAATGAAAAAAAAATTTTTTTTTGTTAAGACCATAAAGGGGAAAGAGGGAGTTGGCATGCCCAGAGGACTAACATTTGATAGGGAAGAGAATTTAAGGAAAGTCATAAAAGTGTTTTGTGGTTACATCTCTTTGCCAACTGATTTCAGGGCTAAAGTTGAACTGTCATACACAGAAAAGGGCTTGCACTTTACAAACCTTTAAAGTCTCTTCCTACGTCCTCAAACACTATCCCCACACACTCAAGAACTTTTCTAGGCAGGAAAGCAACTGGCACTGCAAGTTCAGGTAAGGGATTGATGATGGCGCCCCTAACAGAACCCAGGACTATAGGGTGAGTTAGTTTTGTTTTGTTTTGAATCTCAGAAAGACTGCTTCATACCACTATTTCATAAACAGGGATGTGGGCCAAGTATTTCATTTTTTAAAATTCAGCTTTCCCATCTAGATGAAACCTAAAGTGAATGATGGCTTTGCTCTCTATCAGATCTGTTTATTTCATTATAATGACTGCTGTAACAAACCATGCCCATGTACAAAGCCAGATATGTAGGAAAGTATGAGAAAACTGGAAAAATTTACCAGCTCTATAGCCCCTGGATTATGTTATAAGTCACCAGCATATGTAACTCATTTTCTAGTTAAGTAACTCCCTCTGGGGACTCGGTCTGCAATCCACATGAAGGATCAAATTTCATTAGCAGTTGTAGGAAAATGCAACCCTGTACATTTGCAAGTCAAAACTTCTGAAAGCTATCGCTAGTCTGGCTATCTTCATTGATTTTTCCTGGGAAAGGATTTTAGCTGATAGAAAACATTTGCTGAAAGGACCAAATGAGGAAGTTGAGAAGAAGAGAAGGGATTCAGCAAGCAAACAGACAACTAAGGCACAGTCTTAATGTTAAACTCTGGCCTTAACGCTCAGTCTGCAGCTGTGTCCCAGCACAGAGACTCAGCAGTAATTCCACTCCCCAAACTACAAATGACAAAAGGCACAGGAAGATAAATTAAAAGGGCAAGTATACAAAAACACATAGTCCAGTCAGTACCAAACTCTCATTTCTAGATTCAACTTGAATCCCAGTGTGAATTTTAATTTAACCATGAAATTCAGACTTACGAATCTTAGCATCTTTGTAAATAATTTGTATGAGACTTTAAACCCATCTAAAATTTAAATCAAAAGATATACTGACCACCTATTTGCTCCTACTCAAACTGTCTAGATTAGGAAAACAGTTTGGTTGCTACTTGAATTGGCTTTCTCAGGTTTTAAACCTGCCCAGTTCTTACCTTGGTCTGTGTCGGTTCACCTTTCTCAAACATCATCTTTAGCCGGTTCAGTGGAACATTGTATTTCTCTATTTTGCCCAGAGCTTCTGAGTTTTCACAGATTTCGGATTTTTCTACTTCATGCCTGGTTTCTCCCAGACAATTTTCCATTTTTTTACTTTCAGTTGCGTGGTCTTTCAGATCCTCACTGTTCTCAACGCCGGGAAGAGGGTACTGAACAGGGGCTTCAGGCGGTGTCCTGAATGTAGGCCGGGGGTGGATGTGTTCCTCTTGGTTCTCTTCGGCTCCACGAACAGAGTCGCCTATGACTTCGGCTGGAGGATGGTCGACTCTGTGCCTGATCTCAGTGCCGCTGTCTCGCAGAGAGCCTGGGAGGGACTCTGCTCCCAGCGCAGGGTTCTCCCACTTCTTCTTCAACACAGTCAGGGTTCCCCTTCTAAAGTGCTGGGGGAGATTCTCAGTGTTCTAGAAGAACAAGAAGTAAATGCCAGTTAGAACTTGCCTGCTGCAACATTCAAACATGTTGTTCTTTGTAAGATGAGAGTTAAAACTCCTAGCTGCTCCTGGTCCACAGCCGCTTCAGACAGCTGTGAACAGTTACAGCCCTGCCACATGGAGAAAGCATCCAGCCCGGGAGAGGGGAAGAGAGAAAAGTCAGGAGCCCAAGCAGGAAGTGATAAAACAGGATAGCCTTATAAGGACAAAATGAGAAGAAAGGGAAGCCCAGATCGAAAGATAGTTACATTGGAGACAGAGATTTTTATCCATAGATTAATGGAGAAAACAAGAAAGAAAAACCAAAATGCCCGGTACCTGAAACTGTAACTCTGCATTAACAAAAGTGTGTCATTATGTGCCACAAAATTATGTGGTAAATTCTAGTGTGTGTTTTTTTTCCTCTTAAATAAGACAAAGATGCAGTAAGGCTGAAACTATGCAACACCAATAATTATGGACAGAAGCAACAAAATTGAAAGTTATCTGTAGAAACTCAAAGAGGTCACCAGACTTTCACAGGGATTTGCAGAAATGATATTTGGTTTACCTAACAAAATTCACATTCATGTAAACAGTCAAATTATATTTTCACATAAGAATCAAATTTTCTTTTTTTTCCTGTTCTTCTCTATATATTATTATCTATGTATACATTTTCAGTTATCAGAAAACTCACTACTTTACAGATCCTTTGGTTGAAAAATATGCAGGCTTCTTTTGAAAAACCCCTACCTACTCTGATGATCAAAGGACACACAATTACACATCTTAGAAGTTCACTTTACACCTGGGTCAAAATGGAATTAATTTATACATAGAAGGCAGACTGAAAATGGCCTGGAAATTGTCAGTGTTGTTTCACCTGAACGAGAATACTGGAGGAAACGTGGTTGTTGCAGTAAGATGAAAAGTTCTGTACTTGGAAAGAATTCCTAACGAAATGCAACAACACTACCTTCCCAAAGAACTGTGAACTCCAATACCTTCTTATTCTCCATTCCTGTAGTCTGTGACTTACCGGGCCTCTCAATTAAGAAAGAAAGGACAAACAATTGAGGACTGAAAGACTTCAGGGAATTAAACAGGATTAGCAGCTATATTGGGAATTAAGTCTCTCACCCTATTACTCTTCTGAATACACTCTACAAGCCACTTCATCAAGTACCAACAGGGCTGGAAATAAAAGTCACAGAAGAACTGCTTGATCCTAGTGTTTAAATCTCAACTCCAAGGTGATTCAATGGGGGGAAGCATATATGAGTTCAAGACATAAGAAGCATGAAAAGTCTCCTTTTGGAAGAGAGAGAATTAAAACACATCTCCAGAAGCTGGTGCCACCTTAACTACCAGCAATGCTCTTGGCTGTACACTACCTCAAGCCACACAATGCATGAGTCATCCAGGTTCCGAATTCACCTGCCCTACCTTGTCCACACAGGAGCTCTGAGAATCCAAGTGGCACTCTGCCTTGTAACTGGACACTGCTTTCCTCAGATACACCTCATGTGATCAAAGCATATCGATTGGCACGGGAAGATGCTACTAAGATACTTTTAAGTGAAAAAATAAAGCAACTTATAAGATAATATGATCCTATTTTAATAATATGCATGTATATTTATAAATATAAGCATAGAAAAATAATTTGGAAAAATGTCAGGATGTTAACAGATTCTCTTTGAATAATAGATTATGGAGGGACCAGCAGTTAGCATAATGGCTATGTCGCTGGACTCCCATGTAGTCAACCGTGGTTCGAGTCCCGGACCCAGTGGCTTAAACTCACGCTGGGTGCATATGCATGTGCCCAAGATCCTGAGAGGAGAATGGAGAAGGGACTGTGGTGTGGCCATTGCCCCGGGGGGGGGGGTGATTTCTTGCTTTCTGTCTCTCTGTCACTGTCTTTATGGCAAGTGCACACACCCTATAGCAAAAACCTCTCCAAAAATAAAATAAAATAAAATAAAAATAAAATAAATAAATTATGGACACTTGTATTCTCTTTCACTCTTTTTCCCCCAATAAGTACCTATTAATTGTATAATAAAAATGAATGCAGGCCAGCCCCACAGCACAATGGTCAAGAGAGTTGGATCCTATATGACCAAAGGCAGTTTGAGTCCCAGCCCCAGCCACTTGGAAAATGTGCTGGGCAAGTGTAGGTGTGCCCAGAATCCTGATGGGATGGAGGAAAGGATGAAAGGGGATTGCAGCATGACTGCACCCACTGGGGGGTGCTTTCTCTCTCTCTGGCAAGGCTGCTCTTTGTCAATTAAAAGAAAGAAAATCCAGGGCAGCCAGTGATGTGGTGGCTAAAGCTGCTGGATCCCACATGGCTGACTGCACAATTCGAGTCTGGATCTGGCAGCTTGAAAAACACGCTGGGCATGTGTGCATGTGTGCTCAAAATCCTAGGAAGACAGACCAGCAGTTAGCGTAATGGCTATGTCGCTGGATTCCCATGTAGTTGACCGCGGTTCGCGTCCTGGACCCGGTGGCTTAGAACTCATGCCAGGCGCGTGTGCATGCATGCCCAAGATCCCGAGAGGAGAATGGAGGAGAAGGGATTGTGGTGTGGCCATCCCCCCTAGGGGGTGATTTCTCGCTTTCTGTCTCTCTGTCTCTCTGTCTGTCTGGCGAGCACACACGCCCTATAGCAAAAACCTCTCCAAAGAAAAAAAGAAAATCCTAGGAAAAGAGGGGACTGAAGTGTGGCCATCCCCCATAGGGGTTGCTTTCTCACTTCACCTCTCTGTCTCTCTCTGGCAAGCACATGAAACCTCCAACAAAAAAACCAAAAATATACATTAGTCTCATATCACAAAAAAGATACAGAATGTTTACAAACTTTAATGTTAGGGCTGGCAGGTGATGTGAAGGTTAAGACACTGGACTGACACATGGCTGACTGCAATTTGATCCTGGACCTGGCAGTTTGCTTTTTCACTTTCTCTTTCTCTCTCTCTTTGGTCAAATTTAAAAAAATAAATAAATTAAATTAAATAATTCTTTTAAAAATTTTCTGTTATTACTGTAAGGAACTTCAGAATTGTCATTTCTAATTTTTGTGTGATGACCAGGAAGAAAGGGACTGGTGTGGTGGAGTACCAGCAGTGTCCCAAACAAGGCCAGGGTGGAGGATATCCCTAAGGGGACATTTTCAGGATGAGTAAGTATGCTCTTTTATTAAAGAGAGCACTTAAGGATACAAGTTCAAGAGTGTTAGGGGTAGGACAGAAGAAAGGGAAGGGCAGGGCAGTGTGGTCTGACATCACTAAATGCCCCACACCCTTAATCACTTCTGGGAGCACTGCCATTTGTCCAAGTCCTCCCTTTTATAATGGAGTCCCTCAAGGTTTTGTCTTGGGTCCTCTGCTTTGCAATATTCTCTGCAGATGATTTCATCCATGCCCTGGTTTCACCCACTACCTATGTACTGATGACTCACAACCTATCATTCTAGCCAGATCTCTCTCCTCCTCTACCAATTCCACCTGGAGACCTCAGGTATCATTTTTTTTTAAAAAAAGAATTATTTATTTAATTTTATTTATTCGTTCATTTATTTTAATTTGACCAGAGAGAGAGAGAGATAAAGTGAGAAAGCAAGCCACCAGGTCCTATACTTGAACTGTAGTCGATCATGTGGAAATGTCTAGCACTTTAACCATCACGCCACTTGCTGGTCCCTCTTTTTTTTTTCTTTAAATATTTTCTTTTTTTTAATTATTGATTTTTAAATTAATTTATTATTATTTTTTTAAAAATTTTCACATGAGTTTTGCCAGAGAAAGAGAGAGAGCAAGCTGCCGGGTTTGGGACTTGAACCATGGTCAGTCATGTGGGAATTCCAGCGCCTTAACAACCATGCCACCTGCTGGCCCTGAGTCACTTGCCCCTGACACAGAGACAGGGAAAGTGAGAAATCAGAAATCAGCCCCCAAGGGAAGGTGACCATGCTGCAATATCTTCTCCTCCATTCTCCTCTTGGGATTTTGAGCAAGCACACACATGTGCTGGGTGTTAATTTCAGTTAACTTTATTTATTTATTTTGATTTGATCAGAGAGGGACAGAGAGAGAAAGCAAGCCGCCAGGTCCAGGACTCAAACCACGGTTGGCCATGTGGGAGTCCAGCGCCCTTAACCACCACGCCACCTGCCGGCCTCTGATCTTATAGATATCTTAACCTCATCCTTGCCTAAGGCTAAAGACTTTCCTTTCCTCTCTCTCTAACTTGTTTCTTTTCCTCAACTCCCCATCTTGGTGATGGTGACAATTTTTTTTCCTGCCCAGCACAAAGCTATTTCGTATGCATTTGTACTGCTCATGTGCTGCTTCCTCTGCCCAGGACACATCCCATGACCCTCTGGCTTAGCCAAGTTCTAGTTTGTCAGGGTTCAGGCAGGAAACACTCCTCCCAGAAGTCTTTCTTTATTTTGCCGGAAAGACAGAGACAGAGAGACAGAAAGCAAGAAATCACCCCCCAGGGGGGATGGCCACACGGCAATCCCTTCTTCTCTCAGGATCTTGGGCATGTACGCACACGTGTCTGGCATGAGTTTTAAGCCACTGGGTCCAGGATGCAAACCACGGTCGACTATGTGGGAGTCCAGCGACATAGCCGTTACGACATGGTCCATGTAATGGGTCCCTCCTAAATTCTGCCCTAGAACCTGAGTATTTCTTTGATATGGTGGTACTTAGCACGATTGTAAGTTCTGTTCTCCAAACTCTAGCAGGGACTCTCAATATATCTTATTCCTCCTGGGCAGGTAAGAGATGTTCCATAAATGTTTGTCACTGCTCATGGTGCCATCGTCTGTCTACCCACTCCATGTGAACCTAGTCCAATTAGGCCTTTATCCTGCTACCACCAAACAGTGCAAGGGCCAATGACCTTCATGCTGCCAAATCTGATGGTTGTTTAGTTCACCTTTGTGTTTGACTCTGTTATTTCTCCTAGAAACATTTTTTTCACTAGGTTTCTGGCATGACCTACCTCATTGCTATTGCCAATCCATGGGTTACTCCCGTCTACACAGCTAGAGCCTCCTTATGTCTCCAAACTGTAAACGTCAAGGCACCTTGAGCTCCTAAGCTCAGTCATCAGACCTCTTCACTGTCAGCATTTGCTTCCTACATGATCCCATGCTTTAAAGAACCACTGACGGTTTGTTACACATCCCTTTTATCTTAAGATCTGTATATTTAAGTTCCTACTTGACATTTCCACTTGGATATTTTAATAAAGCACTTCACATTTAATGTGTCCAAAACTGAGCCTATTCCCCACCTATTCAAACCTGCTTTTATTTAAGTTTTCCCCATCTCAATGTATTTTCATTTAATTTAATGGCATTTAGGCAAAAAAAAAAAAAAAAAAACATTGTTGCCATTCTTGATTATTCTCTTTTTCCCTTTGAAATAAATCCTGATCATTTCTCATCTACCCTATTAACCTCCCATACCACTCTAGTCCAATCCATTATCATATCTTGCCTACAACATTACAATCGTCACTCTCGCTCTTTTTGGCAAAGTCCCCCTGTGTTGAGAAAGGCCTTGCCTCTAACTCAAGATCCTGAAGAAGGCCCTTGCCTCTACCAAAAGCCCCCCCTGCCTCTACCTCCCAAGTAGCTATTAATTGGTGCCTGAGTTTCTGCCACTGTTCTTTTATGTCTCTTCCTCTTTTTTAAAGAGGGTTATTTATTTATTTTATATGTTATTATTATTATTTTTAACTTGACCAGAGAGAGAGAAAGGGAAAGTGAGAAAGCAAGCCACTAGGTCCGGGACTTGGACTGTGGTCAGTCATATGAGAGTCTAAGCTCCTTAACCACCACGCCACCTATGGGACCTCTTCCTTCTCTTAAAAATTCGATGGGCCAGAGAGTGGTGCAACAGTGGCATGGCCGGACCCATGTTGAGGAGTCCCGAGTTTGTGTTCTGGGGTCTCCCTGAATATATTTGACACATGCCCTGGGTTCTGGCTGGCTGAGGCTAGGGGTGGATCACAATGGGGGCCTTGTTGGGTGTCTATCTCTCTCTCTCTGAAGGAAGGAAGAGATGAATAAATAAATTCAAACCAGATCATATCATTCCTCTGTATGGAAACGCTCAAAAGACCTCCTAGCATTTAGGGATAAAACCCAGGTCTTCACAACAGCCTTACATAACTTTTCTTCACCCATGCCTCAAACACACTGTAAACGTTCTTATCTGAGAGCATTTGCACATTCTTTCGCTCTCTCTGCATCTTCCTTCTCCCTGGATCACATCCTCAGATCTCTGTTCAAATGTTTCCTTATCAGAGGCGTTCCTTGACCACACTGCACTCTGCACTTCTTACCCACTTCATAGCAGTAATCAGTACCTGGTACAATTTCTTCGTTTTCTGTTTCTTCCACTAGAATGTAAATCCCAGGAAGGGAGAGATACAGTTTGTATTCTTTTCTTTCTTTTTTTTTTTTTTAGAGAGAGATATTTTTGTTATTTGGTGAATGCATTTTTAGAGAGAGATATTTTTGTTATGTGGTGTATGCATGTGCCGAAGAGATAGAAAGTGAGAAATCACCTCCCTGGGGGATGGTTACGCAGCAATTCCTTATCTTCCATTTCCCCTGGGGATTTTGGGCATGAACACACCCGCGCCCAGCGTGAATTTGAAGCTGCTGGGTCTAGGACTCAAACAGCGATCAACTGCGGGAGTCCAGTGACATAGCCATTACCCATCTGCTAGTTCTGATACAGTTTGTATTCTTTGTGTCAAAAACAGTGCATGAGGTGAAAGAAGGAAGGGAGAGGCAGGTAAAAAAAAAAAAAAGGAAAAGAAAAGAAAAGAAAAGAAAAGAAAAGCTGGGGCCAGCAGGTAGCATGTTAGTTAAGGCACTGAACTCCTGCAAGGCTGACTGTGTTTCTAGTCCTGGACCCAGTGGCTTGGGGCTTAGGCCAGGCATATGTATGCACATGCCCAAATCCTGAAGAAGAGATTGCAGCATAGCCATCCCCTGGGGGTGGGGGGGGGGGGTGGCGGCGAGGGAATGACTTCTC